TATGCATAAACCCCACCCTCTTGCCAAGCTGCATCTACTGTGCAAAACAGTTGTGGTAAGGCAGAGCTTGCTGAAGTGCAAAACCTAATTAGAAAAAAATGAAGAGTAACTAGAGAAGAACACAGAGCTGGAGCAACTTGCCTTTATTTCATTTAAGTAAAGGCAAGTAAACCGACTTCCCAGTTTTGAGAGGAGAAGTCAGTTGGGAATAGGTTCATATGTTATTATCAATCCTTTTCCTCATTAGACTTCCTTATCCATCATACATGACCTATATTACTGACACCTGATGCGCTGCCTATTAATACTATTGCTGTTTTCCTCCGCCTGATCAGGTTAGGCGCTTTACTCAAGAGTGCAACATCAGTGCCACTGTGGATTGGAACCTGCATCCCCGCGCTCACTAGACTACCACTCCACATTACTGCTACCAATGAATGCGTTTTCCAAACGAATAATCAGGTTATTCTTCATGGTCTCTTTGCTCCTTGGTAAGGTGAGACTCAGTGAATTATGGGAAAGCACAGCGGCTGTGGCCGATTAGGGCTTGAGAAAAGAGTATTGATCCACCTCCCTGCCTGTTATGCTGGAGGACACCAGCCCCGTTTTCATTTATTGGATTTTTGATATACATATAATCCAGTTGATGTCTCCTTTTGGGAATGTATTGCTTTTAATAATGTTAGGATTACTAACTGGAAGGTGAGGCTTCAGCCAAGTAAATTGGAGCTTCTGTATTCCTTAAATTTACTTTTGTACAGACATCAGCTGTAATTTGTTTAATTTGAAGGAAGTAATGTTCAAGCATTTTCAAGATGGTGTATTGAAAACAGAGTAAGCAATCCATCTCAATACAAGGGATGTGTTAGCTTGGCATCTCCCTGGGCTGGCCTCTTGGTCCCCCGCATCCTCCTTCTGTAGGCAGGTTTAACCCTTTCGCATGTACGGTCACACTGGTGTGATTAGCGCTTTTGCGCGTACGGTCAAACCATTGTGATCAGAACACTAGACAAAAAAAAATTCTAGCTAAAGTTAGCTTTGAGGAAACAGTGATTTAACGTTACAAAGTATAGCAAATGTGGCGGTGAAAACTATGAGAAGCGTAACAATGCTAATGAAAAAATAACGAACCATGTAACGTAACATGTGCTCTACATAGCATAAAATATGTTACGCGCGAAAGGGTTAATGGATCTGCATCTGCAGTAACCCCAGGTGGACAGAGGCCCTCTGTCTCTGAGCTGCTGGTGTGCTCTTGCGAAGACGTTGAAAAGGCCAGACAGGATGGCGGAGCGTGTGGGAAGGTAACGCGAAGAGGCCTGCTGTTAGTTTAATCAAAACACCACAGCAGCGCTCCCGCTGAAATGCAATTAAAAATAAAAAAAAAAGATGTGATCAGGCCGAGGAGCAATAGGAGCCAGGGTTCAGCAGGGCTGGAGGAGACAGCAACAGAAGATACCCACGCCCACCCAAATCTACCCTTCTCACACCAACAACATGGCCAAAATACCAAAAATGAAATCAGAAGGTTCTATTTATCAAGGACCTATTTATCATTTCTGGCAGAATATCACTTTTGCGCTCTTTCACACTCACCAGACAAATACTGTATATGATTGGACATCATGTGTTATATGCTTTCTGGTTTTGTTGGGGATGTGATGTCTTGTATTGTTGTTGTTGTACTGGGCAAATGTGAAGCAATGTTACACCAACAACATTTTTGCAATTGTTTAGTGTCCACAAATGTTTCTGAGGTGGAGTGAGGCACAGTCTCAGGTTGCAACATGTCAGTACAGCAAGTAAATGCTGTACTGCACAATAGTGCTAGATGAGAAATGCTTTACTTTGTTTGGAACTTCATTTATACACTTTAATTAGTTCAAGGGAAGGGCAATTGATTGAATACAGGAGGAGATCTCAAAATCTAAAATTCCTACGGGTGAAATATCGATATTCACACCTTTTACTTCTGATGCCCCTGACGAATTTACCCATGACTCATACCTTGTTTGCCTATAACCCTGAACCAGAGTGATGGATGTTTGAGGGAAAAACTAGCTTTTCCATGGACAGGTCTGACAGCTGTGTTTAGAGGAATGAAAAAGCCAGTAACCTGCCTGCAATGCACAGAGGGGCAGGTACATCTTCACACCTGCACCTGAAGAGAGCAGTACGGGCCCCTGTGTGCGACACCCTCTGTGACACAGCGGGAGAAGCTAGGCTTACACCCCTAGGATTGTGCAAAGCAGTTGCTTTTCTGCTGTGCTGTTTAGAATTTGCAGTCATTTATTTGACATTGCTGTGCTGGTACACCGTGTTTGCTGGGTTACATGGAAGCAGGAGGGAAACCTGTGCCGCACTGAACATTGGGAATGATGCTCGTCAACATGGCTGCTTCAGGGAACCTGTGCATGGCTGCGCCCGGGTTTTCTGATTGGCCCAAAACACCGTTTAATCAAGTAAACTTGCATTGTTTACTCCAAGGGGTTTAGTTCTGACTACAATCACTTTGCATAAATGAAGTCAGTCAAGTACTATAAATGTATATTTAGGACCTACCTAATCATAAATATTCGTTGCCCGTCATTCATTTTCTGATCTCTGTACGAGTTGCTTGAACTCTTCTGAAGAGCCTGGAGGTGACTCAGTCTATGATTCTCTTAAAGAGTAGTCTTAGTAATATTAAGCATTTGTGATAAATGTCTAGTTTTATGCTACAGTATTCTACGATGTGGTAAATGTTTGAGAAAAGAGCTCTCTGGAAAACTAAGGAAAGCATAACCTTTGACCTTAGCGGTACCATCAATTTGACCCACCTCTAGTATGGTGAGCAAAGAACAGAACTTCATACTGCACTTACAGACAGAAAAAAAAGCCCCTCACAAAACAGCCAGCAGTGACTGTATTTGTCATCACCAACTGACTGGAGGCTCTTAATGAGTTTGTCCCACGTCACAGGATCGCGTGACAAGAAACGATCCTTTTGATTTCAACAGCATGGCGGCTCTGAAGATTTGCACGGGCGTGTGTTCAGAAGAGTGTTATTCACGGGCAATCGCAGGGTTCACTGTGGGTCTGCATCAGCATTCTGGACATTGTGCTCAGTCCTTTCCTCCCTGCCCTGAAGTAGACCTCGGTGTACTCGGTAGCTTTTGTTCCCTGATTATGCAACAGAACTGCCACAGAAAAAGGCAACAAAAAACTGTCAACATTCTCCTCTGCGCAGTTTTTAAAAATAGCACAGGCCGAGGAAGGAGGTTAAGGAAGAGACGGTCGTGTGATATTAATTTACTGCCTCCCGAAAATGAATCGCAGGTCTGTCAGGACTCGCGTGAACCTTTCCCTTCGCCGCCGCCTCGTGTTGAGGAGCTGCCATGTTTTACACCCCAGCTGTGAAGCGTGCCGGGTTCATCAACCCCTCCGTCTCTCCTCCTGCTCAGAAATGTCTTCTCTGTCAGCACATCGACTGACCTGGAAATCATGACCGTTCTGGAGCCATGTTGGTAGTATGAGAAAACTGAAATGGTCTGAAAAGAAATGGAAGCAGTAAACCCCACAAACACGTGGCACTACCCTTAAACAGAAGGATGATTAGCCTGCTGGTTAACCCTTTCACACGTGACTTATTTTATGCTATATAGCACGCATTTTACGTTACATGGTTTGTTATGTTTTCATTAGTGTTATTAAGCTTCTCAGCACCACATTTGATATACTTTTAAATGTTAAATTGCTGTTTCCTCAAAGCTAACATTAGCTAGAATTTTTCCAATCTAGTGTTTGACCGTACACGCTAAACGGCTAATCACACCGGTGTGACCGTACGCACGAAAGGGGTAAAAGACTGATGTTTCACAAAGGTAATCAAACTTATCCTGACACCAAGGGGTGCAATATCACTGTCGTTAGCGTACTAATGAACCAGGTGAGGCCAGCACCGTAGCTTGACCCAACAGGAGTCATCTTGTTAACTGCAAGACTTTGGAACAGATATGAGAAATTAAGGTTGTGTTCGACTCTGCGGATGTTAAGAAATGTTAGCCAAATCGTTCACCGTTTAGCTGTGTGTTTCCTGCAGACTTGCGCCAATTGAGGTGAACAACATGAAAAGCCAGAAAGGCCAGCAAATGCTAATGGGAACAGGTTGTGAGAGATATCTCTGTTCTTCTTAAAAGTGACACAGTATGCTTGGACTGTTCACTGGTGCGTTGAACGCACCTCAAACTAAGAGCGCTGTTCGGCACTCTGTGTCCCAGCTGCCAGCTGGCCCCATCTTCCATGGCTGATTCTGCGCTGAATGAAACGGCTGGAAAAGGGTGCATGGGTGATTTTAGCATTGGCGGGGGTATTTTCCTCACCACTCTGTCCTTCTTCAGACAAAGGTCTTTTGACAGCACTAAAGGGGGGTCGGCCAGTTCCCGTAATCCTACGGCACAGAGGCGCCACTCTGGTTCATTTACTGTAAAGAGGGGGGTTCTGTTTTTTAAGGCTGTTTGTTTTGTGCTTTTATTCCAATTCTGGGACTCCCTCCGGTCTTCTTGCATAGGGGGTGACCTTTGATCTCTGATGCTGAGAAGGCTTGTAGTCACACAGCCGCGGTCACAGTGTGGGGTCAACAGAGTGGAGGAATTCTCAATCCCACAATCCCGCGCTGTGTGAGAAGACAGATACAACCACTGTGTCAAGAGAGAGCCTCACAGAGAGGAGCTCTTGACCTCTAGTGTTCCTCACACAGCAGAACTGTGAAAACAGGGACGGTAGCAGACAATGTTGTCTTTCTTTCAGGAACAGATGGGTAGAGAAAAACAGGAAACAATTTAAGCCTTCCCCAAACAGAGATGCATCCATCGCATTGATTAATTCAACCATTCATTTGACTTAATTGTTCTCATCCATGTACTGAATCCCACAGAGACCTTCAGCATGAAGGTCTACTGTATGCATATATTGTGAAAACATTGCTGTTATTATATTATTGTTATAACTTACATAGTGGGGCGAGAGTGGCATAATGGTAAGGAGCAGTGCTCATAACCCAGAGGTTGCTGGTTTGAATCCTGCACTGCTGCTGTACCCTTGGGCAAGGTACTTAACCCACAACTGCCTCCGTAAATATCCAGCTGTATGAATAGATGAAAAGTAAGTCGCTCTGGACAACTGCTAAAGGACGATATTGTATTTTAATTACATGCTCAATCCATAAATGATTCACTAAGCCCGTTGGTTGATGCTAGCAATAGTGACCAACAGACAATGGTATATGTACTTGACTGACAGTAAAATCAGCAACTGTGTCTTTCCCGTTAAACATGTACTGTTTGGGAACATCGTTCGGCACAGCGAGCAGGTGGAAACGCATTTCCGCCGGGGGAGTCTGGGCGCACATGCACGAGACACTCAGCATGTATCCGACGGAGACTCTGGGACGTCTCAATGCACTGCAGGCCTGAGCATTCGTCTCAGCAGACAGAAGGGTAGAAGAGGAGGGAGAGATGGATGGAAAACAACGTGGGGAGTGCTCGACCCAATCCCGCATCGCCAGCCGGGACAGTGAAAAAAAGGTGTTAGAATTTAATGAGGGGCATGTTCCACTGGGATCCCAGACAGCAAAACCAGCAGCTGGTGTCATACAGAGAACAGAACATCGAAGGACCGCTATTTTCTTTTGTTTTTTTTCTCGGTGCCTTTTTGTTTCGATCAATATTTTGCTCCTCCTAGGCATCGAAAATGCCAACTTTTCACATTTTAAACCACTGATTTCTCAGAGATATCATACATATCAATGATCTCAATCATTTCCCACTAAAACGAGGTTGGAGGGCGGAGTAAATCAAAGTCAGATTGGCGCAACACAAGAACAAAATCAATCTGTACAATTTGAGGTTAGGGCAGTTGACCGTGGGTGAAAAAAAATCAAAATACCTTCAGCCGTGAAAAAACCTCATCATGGGAAGTTGGCGCTTAAAACCATTTTAAACACCAAACTCACAAATCTTTATTATTCCATGTCATCCCAGTCACACATAAAGATTTCCAAGGTGACCTTGCAGGCAGGCACTGTCATTGGCTTATGCGTTTCCCTGTGTTCTGGAATCATGGCAGGGACCCATTACTTTACATAGACAGCAGATGCTCTTATCCAGAGTGGCTTAACACAGCTGACAATTTTTTCCACGTTATTCATTTAAACAGCAATTCGGGTTAGGTACCTTACCCAAGGGAACAACAGCAGGATTAGGCCCCCCCTGGAAATCAAACCAACAAGCCTGGGGTTACAAGCCCTGCTCTTTCACCGTTACGCCACACCGCCGCACGCAGCCGGGACACACCCAGATGAACAGCGGATCACCTCCTTTGATGTGAATATTCTCATTCTGCCTCATATCCCCCCGTGTTCCGTCCCCACGCTCTCGCTAATACGATCCGAGTCAGCGACCCTCGTAAATGAAGCAGCCTGGTAATTTCATGTGCAGGGAGAGGAGCGCATTTGGCTGCATGCGTGGAGCCCCCATCGTTATTCCAGGCACATCCACGTTTACAGAAAGGTCCTGTTTTTTTTTTTTTTTTTCCCTTGACTCAGCGGAAGAGGCACGGATTAATTCTGGATTCTTCTGCTGCTCTTTGCAGTTAATGCCAACAGCTAAGTCGGTTTCTCTCACTCCCTGTTTTCAACCTCACCCCACTCTCATTGTGAGTATTACATTACATTACATTATTGTCATTTAGCAGAGGCTCTTATCCAGAGTGGCTTACATATGTTACAGTTTTTACATGTTATGCATTTATACAGCTGGATATTTACTGAGGCAACTGTGGGTTAAGTACCTTGTCCAAGGGTATAGCAGCAGTGCCCCAGCGGGGAATCTAACACACAACCTCTTGGTTACAAGCTCTGCACCTTACCACGACGTTACACTGCAAGCCCATATTATGACACGTCAGTGCTCTCCTCAGAGCTGAAGGTTTGGTGCCACGCCATGCCCTCTGACATCCTGTCCCTACCCCTGTCCTTTTACTCCAGTCGGGCACCAGAGCATGCTTCCGTTAGCCAACACCCATACACACACACACACACACACACACACACACACACACACACACACACACACACACACACATCGATCCTCAGTGGGGAGTATATATTATGAATAAGAGCAGGATCATGTTGTATTCGACTGCTTAAATTTGATCTCTTAACCTCTGACCTGGTTGACATACTTAATAATTAAAGGTGTGGAAGCAATATAACTAATCAGATATTATGAGTAAGTGCAGGGGGCTTTTTTAAGCCAAGGACAGTGCTCGGAGACTCCAAGGCAATGCGCAGACAGAGGAAGCAGAATGAAGATCTGACAGCTTAGAGACATTGGAGCTTCCACGGTCCTATGTTTCAGAGGGCGGTAGTTTTGCAGTGTGCTGAAGGGAAGTGCATTTGGGGGTGAGCTGGGACTGAGCCATGCTTTGGGGGTGCTCAGGGGTGCATTGCACCCCCAGACGGACCTCAGTGCACCCCCAGTTGTCTCCTTATACCCCAAGGTCTACATAGTATTTATTACATTTTTTTAAGATATGATGTGGATAGCTTAAAAATGGATTGCAAGTGCAGCCCTCTGAATTGGGGTGCACTTGCAATGGCACCCCTCTATAGGCAGCCCACTGCAAGTGTACCCCTCTGTATTTTCTCAGGGCGCTCAGCCTGGACAGGTCTGAGTGATATCAGCTTCGATGGGGGTGGGGGTGGGGTGGGGTGCGTGTGAGACTTTCCCAAAGCGTTGCGCCCCTGTCTCCCCTGAGTTCACCGCTATCGCTGACTCTGTGCCACCGCAATTGAAAAAGGGAACAAACTGTCTGCAAACAAGCGACTTCTTTGTGGCTCTGGAGGATGTGTCTGAATCGCACAAGCAGTTCCCGATTTGGCTGCCGTCTTTTTCAGAGCAGCGAGAGGCTGCGTGGCTGCTGAACTGCACCTCTGTTTGCTTATGACTGGGGCGTCTGTGGCGCGCAGGCAGGGGGATTTCGGGGGAGGAAGAAGGGAGCTGAAAGCAGCATGTCGTGATCTTTTATTTTTAGGAACGCACTGTAAACCACCTCTCGCCTGTGACACGGCCCCTGCCAGAAAGAGTTTTGAAGAGTGACAAGCCAAACTTTGTCTACTTTGACTGGGCAAATAAAGTTATTTGTTCCTTTTTTTATTAATGGGAGGAGAGGAGGAGGGAGGTTGACGCAAACCCACCGAAGGCATGGCGAAGATCGAGGCTGAAAATCACGTTTTCAGACCTTCTCCAGAGAGACACATAGAAAGAGTCTTCGTAAACCTTATCATTTTGGCTTCTGGAGTATCGCTTTCATACAATGCTGAGTGCTTCAAGTCTTCCCTGTCAGTTGATTTTTCTGATAGTACATTTCTAAGTATGGAAGCTCTGAGACAATTTTTATGCCCCAGCTCAGCTCTAATATTTACCCACATTACATTATTGTCATCTAACAGATGCTCTTATCCAGAGTGACTTACATAGGTTACAGTGTTATCGCGTGGATGTCAACTGAGGCGATTGAGGTTTAAGTACCTTGTGCAAGAATACAACAGCCCTAGCGGGGAATCAACCCAGCAAACTTCCAGTTATGAGCCTTGCTCCTTACCACTACACCGCAAGGTTATATTCATAAGGCAGTATTTCAAATATTCATTAATGTCTTTACATCTTTAGCAAGTGTGGTTTATTTTGCAGAAACCACACAGGAAGTATGAACACCACAATATTCTGAATGGACTGGCAAGACAGAGGTTCACTGGTCAGCGGATGTCTGAACACTGCAAACAGGTCATTTGACAGTACCTATGTGTTACCAGATGCGGGTGAGATGGGGTGGATGTGGGAGCATTTCTTCTCTGGCTGTGAAATTTGAAATCATTATTATCGTGACTATTCCTGGAATTGTGCTGCTTGTGTCCCACAGTGCATCTGCTGAAGAAATATTTCTGCTTTGATAGCTCTGTCACTCAAATTCACTTCCTTCCCCTGCGCAGTTGCCAAGTTCTGAAATTTAGATGACGTGTTTGAAAAGCTTTTTTTTTTTTCCCCTGTCAGATTTTTTTTTTTTTCAGGTTTCGTGTGAACGCAGCAGGAAGCAAGAAAATCGAGAGACAGTTCCTTACTCGGCTCATACTATCCTCAGAACCCACATCTCAAAACTTTTTTTTTTTTTTCTGAGAAGAGCGCTATTGGTAACAACAACTGCTTACTTATTAACTCAAAAATAACTCATTGCATCCTGGTGCACGGTCTGGCCACCTCATTTAAATATAGCTCTCAGACTGCTTAAGTGAAACCGCTGCTTCGCAGATCGGGTCAGAATGAGCTCCTTCTCCTTCCTGTCAGCCAGCTGGAAAGAGCCGTTTGGCAATGATGAGGCACCATGAGCGCCTGTCCGATTCTGACCACCCCAGAGCCAACATGTCTGCACACCAGCAGACTGGCGATGGCGCGGTGCAGAAGGGGGACGGGGATCGGGGCCTGGCAAGGCTGCTGGCAGCGCAAGTTGTTTGCCTTCTCGTCTGAGCACCAGGGTTGTCAATCGATGGGAGAGCGCGTGTTGAACATGCCTATTGACTGTTCTCTGCAATTACAATACAGTGAGAGTGGCTGCACCGCCTCATGATATATATCGCACGGCTGTCGAATGTAACGGAACGAAATGATACCCTCAAGGAGACAGCTCCTGTGTACCAGATGAGAGGTTTGGGTTCAGTCAGTTCAGATGAGACTGACGCAATCTTAGAGGTGTAGCAGAATCGTGCTACCACCATCAGTGGTTTTAGGATCTCAGTACCTTTCAGTGGGGATGCTCATTCACTGGGTGCTGGCTGGTCAGCTCAGGGGTAATGATCATCACTTTGTAGGGTGATATTTCACTGCAGCCCCACAGCACCAACCAGAGAGGAGCAGGTCCTGAGGTCGGGTTCTGGAATCAGGTCCGATATTCCGGTTGTGTGGCCTAGATCCACTTCTGCCAGGTTATTCATACCACCAACCAGTTGCAGGTGAATGAGTCACAAACTCACAGACTGT